ACTATCCAAACGGTTTGCTGTAAAAACAAGGGTTCCCCGTAAAGTTGCCATCTGTGGTCGAATAACTTTTCTTGTGAGAATTCACGGCTTTGTGAAATTTCAATTTTCGTAGAACAATTCGAGTATTCGCAATGTTGAAATATTTTTATTTGGAATTTTAATATTTAGAATTAGAATATTAAAAAGAAATTGTGAATTCTTAAAAAACTAAAGTTTTACATAACGAGTAAATAATAGCTATGGATATCGCAGAAGAGACTGTATAAATCAGAACACAACATTTGCTAACGTTATAAACCTGTTTTGTTTATTTGTCCATCTATTATTAGTCAATAAACGAATATAGTATATAAACAAAAAAATCCTGTTTCGAAAGACACTATAAACATATTCGCACTTGACAACTAACGTAGAATTATCTCAAAAATTGCGTTATATTATATTTTATCTATAACGCAATTTTTGAGATATATTAATTACTTATTAAACTACTCCGTCACAGACCACATAAATACTAGGCCTCTGTTGCCGAACGGTTACCATGCCGGACTGCCGCGCAGTGGTCCTAGGTTCGATTTACAGGCCGGGAGAAATATTTGTATGACCTACATTTATTTATCTCGGAGTTCGGGTGTAATTTGTAGTTGTCAATGTGTGTGTTCATGGCACTCGCGACACAGGGTTTCCCTAGTGCGGGGCTATGTTGAGTGTGTGTGCGTTATCTCTAAAATTTCGCTATATTTGTATGTCATTCGTGTATGATTTAATTTCAAAGTGACAGGACAACAATGTCGCTTTGAAATTAATAGTAATATTAATATAAATTAAAGCAATTTTGAGATAACACTATGTTAGATGTCATGTGCGAATACTTGTCGCTAAGTTATGTTTAGTTTTTGTACCTGCCTACTGACACACTAAAAACTATGCACCAATTAGTGCAAAACTACAATTCAAACCAAGTTCATTTGAAATAAATAAAAGAACCGAGGCCAATAAATCCTGACAGATGCGCACAGCAACCAAATAAAACGACAAATTGCGACGCGCATATCATATCCCTTGCTGAAATTTCAGCAAAATGAAATAAAGGAAACGAAAGGGACGAGCATTCGACATCTGGGCACCTGCACCCAAAATACATGAAGATACGGTAGAATATTATTCCTAGAATAGCGGCAGACTGTAAAATGAAAACTGAGACACCATGTGCCTTCGAAAACTTGCCCAGTAAAATTGTTATGCAGTTTACAATAAACTTGCCATTCAATTTTGAAATCTACCTCTGTAAACACAAAGAAGCCTTAATCTCAGCCGCATCGAAAAAGAAGATTCATGTAAATACCGGTAAGTGAATAATTTGTCATTTGCTTTTGCCTGGGTTGACGTTGTTTTGCTGTTTTGCTAATGTACATTTTGGGAGGCGGCGAGCAATAACGTTTAAGTTAAATTGAAAAACGGTTACATTCATTTAACTTAAACAATACCACTACGAGACGTTTCTTATTTATGATTGACTGCCGGTGTAATGATGCGATCTCATTTTGCTAGATACTTTTCTAAGCAAAATACGGTGATGTTTCCTTAAACTACGATCTCAAATATAGACCGAGCTCAGTGAACTGTAGTATCATAGCAAATATTTACAGAGGGCAGCTGCAGCACAAGTGTGTGTGCAACTAGTGCGAATACATCTACGAGTTTGTGAGTAATTTACAACAAAATCTTGTTGCGGAATGAAAATTATTACATATGAGCTATAATTTAAATTAGGTACCACTAGCCAGGCTGTAGTATGATATCGGTAATATTGTTGAATAATGCTTTAATTAGCTTCAATTTATAATTACCAATATATAAATGTACAAGGCATAGCCAATAATAAAAACAGTATAACGTGTGCGAAAGCAAATGTACATGACTTTCAAATGAGTTATTGACAGCTGGTTGAAAATTTAAACGAACAGCTGTGTGCTAATGCTATGCAGTATGCAACTGCTGACTACATCATGGGTGCTTTTGAAATTCTTTCTTGTTTTATGGCAGGCAAGCAATTATTTTACAACTACCTCTACCTTCTACACACGACTACCCTGACAATCAAAGTTAGGTACGAATTAGTTTACAATAGAAGTGCAATTTACTAGTAAAACAAAAATAGTATCAACAAGATTTCACATATTTTTCTAATTTTTAAACATTAATTCTTTTGTGCCATATTTGTAGTTTCGTTTGTAGAGAAAATAACGGTAATTAATTGAGTTTGCGCCCACATTCGATATTTCGCACGGTACTGAGAAATTTCACTCTGCTTAGAGTTAGTGCACATATTTGGAGCGAAAATAATAAAACATTAGGAGAGTCATTCCAGATTACGAAAGTCTACGACTACCATGTTTCAGCGCATAACTGTAATTGCAACTGATTTTCTAATTCGCGGAAGGATGATGGATTAAAGTTCTTAAAATTCATTGACCTAGCTACAAATAAAATTAGTACACTTGAGTGATAAGACTTTTCCTAATTTTATCCTTTAGGCACTCTTTAAAATCATACATTAGAACAAAACTATCTTCAATTGCAAATACAGACGGATTCCTATTACGAAACGTAGCATCTATTTCCTTCCAGTTGTAAACATTTTATTGTAAAACTCTTAAATGGAACACGGCGAAAATCTATTTATTCTCTTGAAGACTGTAAAATTTTTACGACACTTTAAGCATCATCTCCACTTTGGAACTACATTTCGTGACTCCTTCAACGCATAGAATTCGTTCGATAACTTGGGTTTTGTATACAGAATATCCAATAATGACTTCTTCATTTAATTATTTCGGGAAGCTATCAACTGCGGTAGGGTAATTTACTGTGAAAGACACGGTTGTAAAGATTTGACATTAATATCAGGGCACTTTAATAATATGTAGTGGACAATCGTTTGAGGAATATAAATACGTAAATATTTCCAAGGCTGTGAAAGGGCGTCACGATTTGAAATTGTGAATAATCACGATTTTCTCATCGCGCTTATTGCCCATGCGGTATGCGTCTCAGAGTTGCAAGTTGATAGAGGATGCGCGCGCCTACCACTCGCGTCCGTCAAGATGGCAACACTGCAGAAGAGATACCGACTTCCGTCGCATTTATTAGTATTCAATACAACATCATGCATGTTTGTAAAGAGCTTCGATTTCTTTTTTCTGTAAAGATTTTTACCCCAGTACTAACAAAATACCTACAGTTCTTTTTTAAGAAAACAAACCACGCAAAGCGAATTCGTCGTAAACTGCAACTTAATGCATAAATGCATTTCATGCGATGTTATACGATGACAGGAATAAAAAAATGGATTGTTATCTGATTCTTAAACATAACTTATAAATCTTTTTATCGACGTTTATTGAATTTACGAGTGTTTATTTAGGACCGCATATCTGGCAAATAGATGCAACGTTTCGCAGAATGTCATCAGTGTAAATAAGTTTTTGATAAAAAGTTATTTTTAAAGTGATTTGAGCAGCAATAGTAACATTTGTTATGAAACGATTCTTTTACGTAAGGTAGGTAAAAATCAGAACTTTTATGAAAACCTTTTCAATGGAAAAAATCGTGAATGTTTCACGATTACAATATCAAATGTTACAATAGAAGAACGTACAACTGAAGACCTCGTTGCTTATTGTATAAGAATGTGAAAAGAAAGCAAAGAGCTCTGGAATAGCTGGTCATTAAAATAATTGTCTAAGCATCCGGTGCACCTAATGAGAACCAAATGAGAGGGTTGAGGACTCAATCGATTTGTCCCCGTGAAGTAATAACCTTTTCCTCGTCATATTTTATTATGTGTGTAAATTTGAGATTTATTAACATTGTGCTCATTAGGTAGATACCTCCAAAAATTACGATATGGAAACCCTAAACAAATGTGTTTAATAGTTACTCCCTTTGGCTGCTCTACGTGAATTTTCGGTTTAAACCTAATTATTTAAAGTTTAAATCTGAAAAATTTGAAGCTTTCTGATTTTACAACTCCAATTTGAAAGCTTATTGCGGTTAGTGTTTGAAAGGCAGTGTTTCGAAAAATCTACGCAATATATCCATATAGTTCGTAATGAGTATAGAGCAAAGGAAATAATTTCCGATTACCAAGAATAATACTTATGTCGTGTACAATTTCGAAGTTACTTTATATTCTAAGGCGTATTCCGTTTGGAGTTATATTGTAAAATGAATTTCAAAAAGTATTGTTCCGTCATTTTAATACCTTATTAAAAATGTCGGTTTTAGTAATCTAATAGCGGAAATTTATGTTTCAAACATATTACATACACAGGTGCGGCAACTGGAATAAAGACTAGCACTCGGCCTAGTTCGAAGGCGCTGTCTCACGGCTATGCCACACGGAGGGAAAGTACCTTAGATACCATAGACAGAAAATTGTACTGAAACAAAACTTCATCTTGATTTTAAAAACAATTCGAACTGCATACAAAGTTTTTAAATAATCGCCTGTCTGAACCGGCAATCGAACCCGCCAATGTGAAAAAAAAACACCTGTAATTTTACTATACTGTTCGAAAGCCTCAATCATATGGATTGTTTTCTTCTAAATAATAGCATCTTAAATAAAAGGAAGATCATGAAATTTAACATTTAATTTGAGATTTTGTTCAGAAAAATGAATTGTCTTTTCTGACTTTTTTTTGGTGGCCCGTGAAGCATAGGGCATACATTCTCCGGGTGAAATCCAACTGTCAAACAACCACGGCTCTGACTTAATTTCACAAAAAAGTAATATCATGGTAGTAAAACATTGTTTATATAAACTTCATATTATAACTAATACAGTAGGAGCCCTCACTGAAATATCGACTATTTGTATAGCACTTAGTACAAATAGTGGAGATATCTAAGTGAGAGCACCTCGAGTTAACAAACTTTATAATAGAAACAATAATAATTGTAAATTATATACTGTATGTATATTTGCTACTTACCTAAGGTAATTTCCTTGGCAGAAACGAAAGCAACCGTGGCCAGAAGCAAAAAAACGACTCCGTTCGGCATTTTGCGGCTAAATGCAATAGCAAAAGCTCTCATATTTCCAGCAAGTCAACTTTTCTTGTTGGGATCCATTAAGTTCTGAAACAATTTGGTTTTATTAACCACATGAAGCTTATCGCATACGCATATCCATTTTACAAACAAAAATTCTGCTTATTTTATATCTTGTCGTATAGTTTATATTTTACAGGTTCTGTACAAACACGATTGTGCAACATTGTTGTAACTAGCGAATATAAACAAGTAAATTTTCGTATTCTTCATTCCAAAATACATATCCAATTAACATAAAGAAAAGTAAAAGAGAAACAGAATATTACAATGATATATGATTTTTAAGATATTCTAAATTTCGAATGTTTTGCTTTTAAAATAATCCTGGTCGTTATACTAATGCTAACTGGCGATACATTATCTTAATTGACGCGCAGAATTTATAACAAAATTATTGCTGACCTGAAAAAAACATTAGACGGCAACTCACATCACAGATATTTATATGGAAAAAAACATTTAGGACAGCAAATATCGAAATGAAAATACATTTTTGGAACGCAACATCTGCAAACCTACCAAAAATAAACCTACTTATAAACTTAGCAATAAAATTCAATACATAATGCAACTCGTTCGTTCAACGCTGTAACTTCTAAAATACAGGGTGCGTGAAAAGTAATAAACGTCAATATCCCTTTTACCCGGACAAGATAAATTTAACATTGGAACTCTCTCAATCGTCATATCAAGCCCGTCTATCATGAGATGAGACATAAAGTGCAAAACGTGATAGTAAAAAAACTTATTTATCGGAATTTATTTTTATCAAAGTATTCATTAACCATTCACTATAGAGTTATGATAGTGATATATATAATATAAATATCGTTATCGCATGTACTGCATATATACCCTTCGATGGAAACCGCGCAGCAAAAGAAGACCTAGCCGGGCTGTGCACATTGGGTGAAACACCATCGAGCGATCCGAAAGCTGCTGTACTCACCAGTTATGAATGAGGCGTGAAGTAGAGAAGCAGGCGGCGTAAGAGAACCCTTCTGAACTTCTTTATCAATTAGGAAGTATGAAAGGTGTTTCGATAGATTAACAGGTTTGGCATTTGATAGCCATAAAAATGAAATATGGAGATTAAATAATAAGTTTTTTGTAGGTAGGTACTTGATGCAGATCGTGTGATCTGAAATGTAATTTTAACTTTCGTTGCTTCCAGCACATTGAAGTCGAGCGGTCGTTGGCACGGTATAAAATTAAACATTAAAATAAACAAGCATATAAAATAACTCAGGTTTTGATTCACTGGTTAACATCATGAGTTAATGAAAGGGGACGACTTGTTCTGGTATCACATATCGTTGGCAATTAACTCTGATGATTTTGATAAAATTCGGAAATAATTAAATTTAAATACTATACTCACAATTATGTTGCAGCCTTTGTGTAAACTAAAACAGTCGTTAAAATAAACACCACTAAATTGGGAATTGTTCATTAGTTTTAAAGACTTCTTCGATACATATAACATATACAACTAGTACAGAAAACTTTCTAATCTGGTAAAAATATGAGTATCGGAGCTCAGATGTAACATTTTACGGTTAAGTTCTGTTTAATGTTGGTTTTCATTAGATCATATAACACGTGCCTTCAGGTCGTATATCATGCCAGCGAGGGGTTAACCTGGCTGACATATTTAAAAATGGATACATCAACCCGCAGAGGGTTAAATTACTTTTTTATTGTACTGCAGCACTCCGTTTGGATTCGTCCTTTCAACAATCCTTTTGGGTTGATTTATATGTAGCAGAGTGGGGCCGTCGAAGTATAGGTATTTACTATAAATAAATACGTACTAGAAGGCCTTAACGACTTGGCAGTTTTATTGATTTTCTCTCATATTAAACAGACATTTAATTAAAATGCATATAAGTAAATGAATAAAGAAAAAGTACACCAATCCTTAAAGACAAAAGGCCGATTACTAGATATTTTGTTATTACAACAAACACTAATTAAATAACATGGGTATGGTGCTAAGACCAGATGGCGTGTGCAGCGGCTTTTTATACAGAATATTAGTAAACATAGTTTTATGGGAAAGTACAGGATGTTATATAATATATTCTTTCACAGTGCAATATATGCACGTATATCATTTATTTGTTATAGAACGTTTATAACGGTTATATGATATAATATGTTGCATTATGATGTACTGACTTTAGAGTAGCAATTGTAACATAAGTGTTTGTGATACTAATAAAAATCTACGATACACAATAATGTATATAAATCGATCAGTAATTCATTCTTTAAAAGAATTTTTTAGTCACAGGGTATACAATATAAGACCGCACGTACATAAGTATATCATTATCGCAAATTGACCGCAAAAATTATTGAAAACAATAAACAATTTCACGATGATACAACCGCAAGCTGTGCTTAGACTGTAATTCAAATATTTGCATACTATAAATCACTGTTGGGGGTCAAACATGTTGTAAAACTTTTGTACCAACTGTCACATCTAGTACTTTAGAATCCTTAAATATCGTGTTGTTTTTCAGCCCCAAGGGCGCCTTCACATTAGACGCTTATAGAATAATAATAATAATAAGGTTCTTCCGCGCCTCTACTAATTTTCATTCAACATTTAGAAGAACAGTTGCAGCGTCAATGTCGTGACGCGTTCTCACCGCTTTGCTTCGCCGCACAAAAATTATTCAAGCGCTACAGACTACACTGCAGCGCTTCTTCAAACGTTTAATTTGAAGGCGGCCCTAGGGTACGGGACACAGTATTTAAAATACTGAAACCATAATGTAATTGAAAATTTAATTTGTAAATACTGTCATTAAAACACATCAATCCATTAAATTTATTGAGGACTATGTTCATACGCCGCAGTACTAACCGCAATTGTATACTAATCGACAACAATTATTCGCGTCGATTGATTGCAGTTCGTTGGACCCATTGTGGCAGAATTCACGGTTGGATTTTAAAACATCCTGTGCGAGGAAGCGCGTGCACGTGCGCGGTAAACTTCCTGCCAAGCACCCGCGCACCTTGTACCTAGCGCCAGGAATGGCGGCGTAGACAAAGCTCAACTCAGAAAAGACTTGTAACTTTTCTCTTTTTATAATAAAGTTACATTTCTTTTAATGAATAAGTAGAGTAGAAGCAATTTTGATTCAAAATTTTAATTTTGAATAATTAACACAACCTGGTAAATTAATGGAACTGTGACGATCAAAGGTTGGTTCTAAAAAAATATCAAGCAACACATAAAAAATTTTATTGCTGGCCATATGTAACAACTAGCCCTATAGAACAATACTGCCTATTGTTACCTTTTACGTACAGCCTATTTATTACCCTGCCTACAGCAGTCTACAGAAAAATGTCTATTAACAGTAACGAATATTTTTTTAATGTTTTATTTTGTTTTTACTTTAAATAAATATGAAAGCTAAATATAACCCGGAATAATCTAAGATTGACCTTCATTTAACTATCTTATAAACACAATATGAAGACGTGGTGGTCTGTTAACATTCAAATGTACATTAACCCACGTTTGGGGTGCGAGTGCTCTTGAAAGTTATTTTTAAATATCCATTAAACCAGGTACTGTACCCTTCTGAAGGTGCGCTTATCTGAACGAATAAGTAGAAATAAATTATGTAGGTATATTGAGATTGTCTTGATCTACATAATCATTTTTTTTTTATTGTACCATATTTCACCGTATAATTATGTAGCTATATTATACGGCTTAAACTACGTTTTCACTCCAACACAATGTTTTTGTAGTTGTATTTTACACACGGTAAAACAATACCTGGGCTACAAAGTGGTTGACTGATACTTGCTATTACGTTGCAGTATTCTCTATATTTGTACTAATGTTATGCTAAAAAAGACAACACTAATCCGATAATGTTATATCTGTTACAAAATTTAAAAAAAATAAAAGTTATTATTTTCACAGATACCGTCAAACTTTTAACGTAGGTAATTGAGTTAAATTACACTAAATTGTAATAATTATTCCTCAAACATGCTCGGAAATGTTTGCATTACTTTCAAAAAACGAACACGGAAAGTTTGTCATTTATGGACTATGCGACTTCTTCCCGGCCAACGCCTGCAAAGTAAGTATGAAAATCCATTACTGTCGTCTTCTCTAAACTTTTAAATCTACCTTCTAATAATGAACTATGTAAACAGGCAAAAGAAAAACTCATACAGTCAATTTCCTAGTGTTCATAACTACGAGAATTAAAAATACCTACCTGTACCACTTCTTAAAAAAAAAGAAAATGACATTTAGACTAAAGTGTTTTGGTATTCTTTTGTTTTGTCGTCTTTGCATTTTGGCCCCGAAGATGAGTACTAGTGAGAAGAGCAATGACGAAAATACAGTAATAGATAAATTCAAACTTATCGTCAGAAGTCCAGCAGACTACTATTAATGTGCCTGGAAAAAGAATAACATTTTCTTTTAGCAATTGTATTGTATAAATTTTAACGTTAGTTAATAGGTATTTTTTTACTTTTTCTATTATACATCTTCCTCTCTTTAGTCTTTTATTATTTCTTTTATTATATACATGCCTCGGCGGGAACGGGGATTGCTTGACTTGTATTAATACAAGGCCTTACTGGTGCTCGTCCTTGTAACTCATATTTGTCGAGCAATCCCTTACTTCCCGGCCTCTGCAATAATGTGCTATTTCTCGAACATGCTCGGAAATGTTTGCATTATTTTCAAACAACGAACGCGGAAATTTTGTCATTTATGGATCATGCGACTTCTTCCCGGCCAAGGCCTGCAAAGTAAGTATGAAAATCCAACTTCTGTTGTTTACACCCATTGACTTACAATTATATGGACGTCGGGTCCGCGCTAAAAAGTGTCCGCACTTGTAAGGCGCTAAAATCGTATACAGAGCGCGACACTCCGCTTTAGTCTTCATTTGTTCGACAGACAGCGCGATACTGCGATGACACTACAATTTAAATTTCGAATAGGTTGACTTGGGACATTTTTTTCG